GATATGATAGATATGAGAGATATGATAGATATGAGAGATATGATAGATATGAGAGATAGATATGAGAGAAGGTGCTCTCTCCACCCTGACCTAAATAATGCTGTTCTGCTGAGTCATGGCTTTATCCTGAAGGAAAATACCACAGGAACCTTTCTGGACACAAACAGTATATGTTCCTTTTGGTATTTAACTTGGTTTTCTGCTCTTTTCCTTAACTTTGGTCAAAGCCAATGAAATTCTTCATTATTTTTAATATTACACAACTATGAGAGTTATAGGTTTTTTGTACTGCTACAGTTTCCTGGAACCATTAAGGTTTTGTCATGAAAATGAAGCAAAAGCAAAAAGCTGATCCAGCAAGTTATAAGTAAATCCAAAATAAAGTTATTTCATACTAACAGATAGCACTATAAAAGCTGATGTGCAAAGCTGTGAAAAATCAGCAATTATGAAAGCTCAGACAAATAGGCATCAATAATCTAAAGGCTGTCACTGCTGCAGAGAATGCTCTGGAAAAAAGGTGGCTTTTGAAGCAGAATGAACAAGACAATCTAGAGAACTGCACCCTGTGCTGGCAACTCATCCCCTTGGCAAAAGTCCAGCAGGAGCTTCCCAGCACCTGGGCTCCTGTAAACCTGTGGAGTGGACAGTTGTACATTCAGGCACCACCAGTTATCAGGAGGATGCTTCAGTCCTGGCTGCTCCACAGTCAAATTTTATCCTGTTAACTGGTTACTTGTCTTTTCATGTTAACTTAAAGCTGTATCACATTTTGTCTTAACAAGGAAGAGCCTTTTCTTCAAGTATTAAAATAATATTTCAGGCTAGATTTACCCTATTGATGGCACAGCTGGAGAATATGCTGTTGTCATTGGTATGACCTTAAAAATCCAGTCATTTTGAAGGGGGGAAATGTTCCATCATATCTTGTGTCGCTGAGAAAGTCAAATTCAGGCACTGAGTTCTCTTTTTCGGATGAGATGCAGATTCTTATCACTGAGACTCTTCTTGAAATTCATTTTTAGTAGGGGATGAAGTCTTCACATCACAATAGCTAAAATCATCTCTGTAAACTAGGTCCCTCTGAGAGCTTTCATCAAAGTGTGGCTCATGAGCTGTGCCAGCATTCCACGTGGTGTTCTTCCTCAGGGATTTATGTAAGAGTTCTCTCATTCTCCTGTTTTCTTTGGTTGTGGCTTCCCAAATGATTTCAAGTTCCCCTTCTGTTTTCCTAGGGGAAAAAAAACGAAGAGAAATCCTAATTTTAGCAGTTTCAGCAGAAGAGAATTACAGTATGTGGATAAGCAAATTAGAAATGGCCTGTATTTAAGTGCTTGAAATTACCTGATTAAAATTCATGCCTATTTTGCTTTTGAAAAAGCCCACTAAATGTAATGCTGGAGAGGATATGACCAGAAAAGAAACACTTGGACCCATGTAACAAGCTGGATCAAGTCTCAGCTAATGCCTCTTCATGGCAGCCAAACAAAGGTGGTGTAAACTAGGAGGGGAGACTAAGCTAGAGGACAGTCCTTAAGGCATTACAACCTCACAGATTCATTTCTCTGATGCCCAAGCATAAATGAATGAATTGTTTAGCATCTTTCTCAAGAATAGGTTATTTTTTAAGCATGGAAGCCAACATGATTTAATAATACAGTGTATTCCAGCACAGGCTTTTTATTTTAGTAAGTTATGTTAGATCAAGGTTAAGCTCTTGGGTTTCCTCTGACTTATTTCTAGTATGTACCAAAGCACAAAAAAATAAGGATATCAAGATAATTGAGGTGGAAAGCAAAGCTGTTGCATGGAAAATGAGCACACAAATTTGAATGCTATACAGACTAATACAGCCCCTTCAGGGCACTACCTGAAGCACTGGACAGAGCTACCCTTCTACACAAATTCTCCCCAATACCAGGCTCTAAAAATGAGAAACAAATCAATGCACAACATAAATGTGTTGAGAGCCCTTTGTGACTGATCACCCTGAGAATGAAGTGGTGAAAAGTGGCCCAGCCATAGTCCCTGCCCACCTTGTGTTTCACCTTATGACTTGATATACAGATGGAAGAAGAAAAAAAACCTCGTAGAGAAGGGCTTTAGATTATTCTTGCATATATTGCTTGGAATGAACTTTTGGTGGTGGAGGAGATCAGTAACCATTGAAAATGGAATTAAAGCAAAAGGCAGCAGGTGAAAGCAGTACAGGTGCTAAAAGTAGTCTAAGACTCTGCCCAAGAATGTGACAGGCCACAGTTAATTAGTTGGACCTTTCCATTTCTGCCAAGTTGCTAAAAAGCTATTGACTTTAAAACACCAAAACTGTAGATGACTTTGCTCTCAGGAAGTATATTTCTCCTTGAGACAGGATGAGAGTGTCTAATATTTACCAGTGCTTGGAATATGCTTCAAAATGCTTTACAAAGGCAATTACCATTCTCCTCAGCCTACTTCTGGGGAAGATGTGAGGCACTAAGACTGAATTTACTCTCCCCAACTAGCAGGCCTCAGTGTCACCCATTGGTTGACCCTGGCTCTCTGTATTGTGATTTTGGAATGTTTTCAGCATCTTGTTTTCAAATGAACTTTTATGTCTTGATAGGTCTAGCTCCTGTTCTCCAGCTGGAGTCTGCAGGCACCGTGCACAGCACCCTCATGGTCAGCAATTAATACACAAGAGCTTAATCTGGTTTACTGTTACTGTAGTGCAGAACACTACCCAAGCTTTAGTTCATCCTCTAATTTCTAAAACCAAGACTTTTTTGAAGATGATGAAACTAAAGATCAGCAAGTTCTGAATTGTAGTTTAATGCTGTCAGCATGCCTGACCAACAGGGTGCTCATCTTCAGTTCAAGTGATTTTAGAAAAAACATTAGTTCAAAAAAACTGGTTTTAAAAGTGTCCACAATCTTCAAATTACTTGAGTAGCAAGGAAAACAGATGCCTTTAGAGATAGTGGTGTATCTGAACTCTTCTTGGAGGATTAATTTTTAAACAGATCTGAGAGATGCAGAGCCAGAGAGCACTCGCTGACTTTGCTCTGGAGCGAGCAGTCAGAGCATATTGTTGTCCAGGAAGCACACACAGCACTCCACAGTCACAGGTGAGGCTTCTCAGTGTGGCTCAATATCCTGCTTCATAGTTCAGCTGGTTTTCAGGTGAGCTGAGGAGAAGCAGCTGCATCCCAAGTGCAGGTTTTGTCTCTGCATGGTTTTCGTTCGAAAATTCTGACCCCACCAAAACCTAAAAATGCATCCAGCAGAATGGGCTAGGGAGGGGGTGTCTTCATTCTTATTAGTCACAGCCTCCCTTCTCTTACAAACTTGGATTACAGAGCAGTTTGGTTACTACAGCTGCTGATGGTCTGGGCTTTTTTCCTGACACTAATATTTCCCTGCCCATACAGCCGGTTCACCTCTTCAAACACAAGTCTTCGCCACTTGGCATTTAAAACTAGATACATGCTCAGTTTAGATACGTGTGCTGTTTCCAGATGTCTTCAGGCAAAAAGCATTAAGTTTGTTTGTTATTAATGTAGGCTGTTATTACTTAAATACATAAAAATAAAAATTCCATTCAACTCCAACCTAGCCAAAATGTAAGGCTCTATACCTTGCTGAGAGTAAACAAAATGCCAATGCTGTACTGATTGACGTTTGAGGATGAAAGAGTTAACAGAAGCAGGTTCTGAAAGCAGATTCTTCTTTACAAAAGACAGAGCTTTCTGCCCTTACTGAACTAAATTAATTCAGCCTTAATCTTATATTTGGGCTGCCGACTCAAGAACTAATTTTCATCTCTCCCGTGAGAGTTTATTTAAATATTCCTTATAACAAAGATCAACAATTTTTATCATGGTTACAATTTTATATGTCACCCCCCAGGTAAGACAGCTCCTCTCCCTTGCCTGTGCACAGCTGCAGAGGTTTTTTGCTGTTGACCCTCTCCCAAGGACAGTCTACGGCACTTTCACACCCGCCTTTTCCAGCCAAAGCACAGCAGCTGTAACTACCTCCAAGGACTGTTTCTCTGCAGAAGACTTAGGCAATAAACTCTGACCTAGTAAACTCTTAATAGTAAGTGTCCTGTTAAATAAGACTGGAAGTATTTATGACCCTGTTTTTATATGCATCATCAGCTTTAATATCTCAAACATGCAGCGTAGCTTATTTAAGGGAAGGTACGTGAGAATGATGACTCTGAGGATTACTCAGCAAGACAGATGCAAAAGGAAACAAAAATCTTATGTGTAATCATGAGATTCCTTTCATTTCCTACTATTCTGAAAACTGGTGAGGAGTGTGGACGGGCAAGTGTTCAGCCTTTAGCAGAAGACTTGATTTATAAACTAACACATATCTTGAGTTATAGAAGCCCCTCAAATCATCAAAGATTAGACTCAGGTTGATACTCTTCTTAAGAAGAAGTCTTAAGAACAGCAGTTCCCCCCTGTGCCTCACTCACCTCTTCTGCTCCAGCACTTCATCCAGGGTTTCCTGCTTGTCTTGCAGCAGACGCTGGAGGTGCTTCATTTCCTGCTCATACCAAGCAGTCTTCCCAGCAAATTCCTTCTCCCGCTCAGTCATCTTGAGATTGATATCTCCAAGCTTCCCAGCTGCTTTCTTTTTATACACCTGTAAGGGGTAAAGATAATAGGGGAAATGGGATTGTGGGAGAAATAAGGACAAGTCACTACCAGCAAAAGAAAGATCTGGAGACACTGATTTGCAGTTTAATTTTACATCAGTCCTGTCCTGCTTAAATCTGTCAGGTGGGTTGCATTATGGATTTTTTTTAACCTGTTTGTTAATTCAAAGGTACTAAACTTCATTTTGTTCTGTATATAAAACTGGTGTGTACACTGAATACCATGCTGTATGTTTGTCTTAGGAGTGAACAGAATTAGCTGCAAAAAAGGGTTTATTTTCCAAGATGCAAAGCTACACATTACAGCACCTGTTGCTCACCACTTGTCCAACAGTCATATTTAGCAGTACATACCAAGAAAAAGTGCTTATGTTTTGTTAGTTGTTCAATATGAATACTAAGAGGAAGGAAAAGAATAGCTTTGTGTTTTAAACTAGCTTGCTGCTTCTCATAATAGTCCTTCTGTTCAGTGAGGCACAAGTGATTTTTTGCTTAATGGCTATAATAACCAAATTTATTGGTCCCATCTCAAAAATAAGAAATAATTTTTATACAGAATTATTTTGCTTTCTGAAATTACATCCCCATTAAATTGCATGAGCACACGAGGAACTGAAAAACTGTGGCTTGTGTACTGTTACCAATGTCTTGCTGCTGCTCTTGAGAAAAAGCAACTCCAATATTAGCTTTTTTTCTCATGATTACAAGCAGAATGTGACATTTCCTACAGGCTATAGGACAGAGTTTTGGGATGGAAGCACCTCCTTTAGTAAAACTGTAAACTATTTAATAGTGAAGCTTTGAATATACTGCTATTTTTGTCTTGCTACTACAAAGTTTTACCTAAGGTGCTAATCACTAAGGTTTTATCTTCATCTGAATCAGAGCAGAAAGACTGAGTCTGCCTTTTAGAAGAACTAAAAAAAAAATTGGCCTTTTTAGGTATATGCTGTATATAAGGCTGTATAATCCCCTCCACAAACTGTTTCCTGTTTTAGCTCTTGTAAAATGTGCCCTCGTGGAGTTTATTTTTCTAGAGCTCATAGGACAATAATAAATAATAATATTTACCTAGAACATCAGTAATTCAATATTTAAGGATGACTTACACAGAGGGTTTTCCCTAGCTTTTCCCTGTCAGATCCAAGAAAAGAATTAGAAGCCTGCAAGTCAACCAGTCACATCATTCAACTTTTTAGATTCCCAAAGAGTCCAAAATGCAGAGTCAGGTGCTTGCACTGTAATGCCGTGGGAGGCTCAAGGAAAACAAGTTCCTTCTGAGCAGCAGGTTGCTCAGAGCCAGCAGAGGAAGTGCAGAGCACAGGGAAACAGCAGAACTTTCCCCTCTGCCAAGAAATTCTCCAGCTTTACTCAGGTCCAAGAGGGCCCTGAAATGCTCTCTCCAGGGCAGGTACCCGTAATTAATAATTTCAGAGAACTAGAGAGACCTTCTTATCACAGCAAAGGCTGATAAAGCAGCCAGCAGTGTTGGTGAAACCCATTTTTCATCTCCCGGTCATTGACCTCCCAGCTGCAGAGAGCTCTGGTTTAAGGTGAGTGTTGTGTTTTCAGCTGCACTCTGCCTGAGATGGTTCAAGCCTCTGGCTCCTGGAGAAGAGGAGGCTCAGGGGAGACCTCATCTCTCTCTACAACTCCCTGACAGGAGGTTGTAGCCAGGAGGGGTGTTGGTCTCTTTTCCCAGGAAACGACCAGCAAGACAAGAGGGCTCGGTCTTCAGCTGTGGCAGGGGAGGTTTAGGTTGGATATTAGAAAGAATTTCTTTGCAGAGAGGGTGATCAGACATTGGAATGGGCTGCCCAGGGAAGTGGTGGATTCTCTGTCCCTGGAGGTTTTTAAGAGAAGACTGGATGTGGCATCAGTGCCATGGTCTAGCAACTGCAGCGGGGTTGGATCAAGGATTGGACTTGATGATCTCGGAGGTCCCTTCCAACCCAGCTGATTCTGTGATTCTATGATTCCTCATCTCCCATAGCTGCCTCTCTTGGCTCTGCTCCTCCTTTGCCAACTGAAGCCGTGTGCAGAATGGTTGCAAAATCTGTGGGGCACAAAGGGCAGAAATGCACCATTTTCTTATGGCCTGAAACCAGATATGAGGGATACACAGCTCTGATCCTGCTCCTCTGGATGGATTATAACATCATCTACGGAAAATGCAGCCTGTGCAAGTCAGGGTGGTTCTGGGCACACTGCCAGACGTGGCTGCTGGCATGCACAGATCCCTCCCTTTGAATTGTCCAAGATAACCTATTAATGTTCCTGGAAGTGAAGCAGGTAGCAGTAAACAGACTGGTGGAGATATCACCACCAGGAAGAGGCTGATAACACACGTAGCTAGAAGTCATCATATTTTCCTCTAGAGCTAGAAAGGCCCAAGGTCATGGCATCAAGTATAGAGTAAGCAAAGTGAGGAATGATCATGGATGCAGCTCTGGTACTGAAGAGGACATAATTTACACTCTTCTAAGTTATTTGGGGAAGGTGTACTCCTGGGCACTACAGCTCTGTTTCACCTCGAGTACTGAACTACAAACTGGCAGAGAATTCTGACTGCAGAGCCCACAAAACATTATTTGTACAAACAGAGGCTGCTGGCTATGGTACATGTAATGATCTGATCATTTGTTGAGGCAATAAAGCTATTTTCTGTCAATCATGTGTTGTTTTTCTCCAATCCTTTAACAGTAAAATTGGTATTGTCCATTCCAAAAGAGAGCAAAGGACCATCTGAATGAAATCTTCTCACTGCTCTTATAAGAAGTTATTCTCACAGAATAGCCCTGTAATGGGAACACTGATGGAATTTTTATTGTGTGCTACAGAACATTGCCAACTGTCTCCCATGGCACCTAAAAACACTTTCATTAAGATCACTGACAATTATCTTCAGGGCTGTGTAAAAAAATCAGTTTAAAATACGTAATAAAGCTGTGTGTATTATTGACATGGGTTTGGGGCTTATTTTAGCAATAACCTGTTATTTAGCTTTAAAGATTTTCACAGTGATTTTGTCTTTAATAACTGATCTGCCAGACCTTGACTTAATTTGAGACTTCTCAATGAAAAAGAAAAACTGCAGGATTTTATTAATTTTCTTTCTTCAAAAGAATTAATGAAAAAGTCCTCTGGACCAGAAGAGCAGATCTATTTTATGTGCAAGGCACAGATGACCTGAGTTCAGAGGGAAGTGATCCAAAGGGAATGGAACTGCCAGCTTTTGGAACAACCTCTATCCGTAGGGTGTCTGATGTGTTTCCAGTGGAGAAGGGTTGTCCCACATAACCTTCCTTCTTTCCTCCCCTCAAATAACAATTGTAGTGATGTAAAAGAAGCCCCAGAAAAACTTTTGAGACCCACACGGTGCATCTGACCTGTAAGTTTTGGATGAGCTGCTTCCTGATGCGACACGAGGCAACAAACTCAGCAAAAGGGAAACAGAAGTAAACCTGGCTGTGTCTAAGAAGTAGAAAAAAAGTCTAGTTGTGTCCAAAAAGTAGATTCACACTGTAGGCACTTGGAAGTAACCCAGAGCTGTAGGAAGGAAACTTTTCTCTCCTCATACCCTGAGGACTCCATGCTCCGGTTCATATAGTTTGCATTTCTTATCTTATATCTTGAGGAAATAGCTGCAGGTGGCTAAAAGCCAAGGCCCAGTAACCTTTTGTGAGATAAGAAATAGCTAAAACTCACATTATCAATGGCTGTGTCACCCTGGCGGGAAAACGAATGTGTTTTAAGTACTGTTATCACTGGAGACAGATTACACCTAAATACCTCAGAAGAGGTTTATCCTGAAACTCAAGATAAAGAGCAGTTACAAACATGTGATTTCCCAAAGCAGCAAAGAAATAAATTATACCAGCTTTTAGCAAAGTTCAATTAATACAATAACCAAAGAGAATATGACATTTGTAGGTGTCGTGTGACTGTTTAAGCCCTCTGCTTTACTGACAAAAATAAAGAATGAAAAGGTTTTGCAAGCAGATTAGTCTTACTTCTGTTAAATTGAAACAGCTGTGTTTAAGAACTTTATTTACAGACATTTTTTCTGATTTCCATTAATAGTTGATGGTTTAAGGATTTTTTTTAATTTGGTTTTGCACTTAAAATTCGCTACAAGTAAATGTTCTTAATCTTATGCAAACCTCTTCTCTATCCCTTAGATACAAATCTATTAAATTGCATAAAATGTGTATTTAACAAGAATATAAGCCACAGTCTTGGTAGGGAAGATAGACATGAATTAGGGTGAAAAGTGTTAAAAACATTTTATGGCTGTATTAGTATAATTAGATAATTCTTTTAGGGCAGTGTTTCATGTATTTAGATATTTTATGAAGTGAAACTTTTGAAACATAAGTGTTTCAAATTTATATAATGCTGTTATACTGCAATTCCACACTGTGCTTTGCATTTGTTTGGAGAGTTGTAAAGATAACCTTGAATGTATTCTCTAACTGGGCTGCATGTTTGACCATCCCCTGAGTTTCTAAACCTCCCACCCTTTGGCCACATGAAAGCACCTGATGGTAACTGTACACTTGAGATATGTTTTTCATTCTTCTGATTGGAATTGGAATGGACTTCAAGCTGAAGCATTAGTACAGCCTCAAAAAAGTGGGACTTGGGTCACACTACAAAGCAAAACCGAAATACAAATAATCTTTAAGTATTTTTACAACTAGTCCTAGGTTCTCCAGGTGTAAATGCTGTGATCTGGCAGACATGCAATGTATGAACACAATGGTGAAAACTATATCGAGGATCTATTTTGCTTTTTAGAAACATTTTAAGATAATCTATAAGTCTTTCATAAAAACACTGACACAAATTAACTGTTGACTTTTTTCACCAGAAAACCCAAAACACAATAAATATTTAGCTTAGAAACACTGCTTACCTTAACTTTCTCTTCCAGTCTCCCTAAGCGTAGACTGCCTTCTATCATTTTATTGAGAACACCCTGCTTCTCATTTTCCAAACATCTGGCCTGCAACCACACAGTATACACATAACTAAATGTAATCATTACGTTAGAGCAGACAAAACACTGACACTGAGCAAGACACAGCAATTCGATTTTGAGCTCCCATAGTCTGAAGAACCAACACAGAAAACAAGTCCTGAAAATTATTCTTTAATGGCTGATTATTTAATAATTTTTCAACTGATTGTGAATACTGTGAAACAACATTATTCTGAAAGGATACTAATACTGTAAACTCAACCTATTCTGTGTATTTTTCTACAGGTATATGTTTGTAGGGATCCCATTTTTCACTGTTTCATAGGCACTACATTCCCAGATGTAAAAAGTAAACCAAACAAAAATGCATAAGCTAGGAACAGTGAAATAACTTTAAAGCTGTAAGAGGCTTCAATTGTTAAATCCACTGAAAGCATTCAAAAGAGAAGTAGCTTTTAGAATCAAAAATGTCTGACCACCTTGAACTACCCATGTCACTGCAGAGACACATCTCCTTTCCCAGAAGTCAAAATTACCAGGCCCTGCTGGAGTCTGTGAACTTCGTGCTCAGTAAGTGATAGTTTGATTTACTGAGAGGCAGCTGAATCATACAATACAATACAAGGACAATTCTGACAGCTGCTAACTCAGGATTACAGTTCATCATCACTGTTCCACTATCAGAATTGATTTAAACAAATTTGTTGCTGCTCTGTTTTAGGCCGTCACTGTTCCTGGAAATAGTAAGTTTAAGACTATCCCTTTATTTTTGTGGAGATGTGATTACTACAGATTTTCTTTTAACCCTCAATAAGTAAGAATATAGGCTAATTTTTTAGTGCTGTACCATTCTGCTGACACTCTTCTTCTGGATGAAATCTGCATGAAATGCATTTCAATGATTTAATTCAATGAATGAATTAAAAAAGAGTAAGGCAAGGATTAACTGAGTAAATAAACTAGACATTACTGAATTTTGAGGTCAGGAATGATACTACATTTTAAACTTTGTCATAACCAGTAGTGATTCTTCAGAATCATTAGAGTCTACCTCTAACTTTTGGTTTGTTTGCTTGTTTTCTAGGTCTTCCCACTAGAAAACCTTATCAGAGTACCTGCTAAAAGAAACCTGCAGTCTAACTTTCTGCTAAGATTCAGCAATTAAAAGTAGAAACGGGTTGTTTTGATACAGCTTTATGAGGCACCAAAGTAAACTGGGTATTTTGAAGTTTTTTTCTATTTCAGTAGAAAATTTAGTCTGAATATCTCTCTGCTGTTGGCCCAGACACAGTGGATTCATAAAAAAAAAGGCAAGACTTGGGCAATGTAAGTCACAAATCAAGATCTAAGAATCAATTCCCCTAATTCCTAAGAGACATTTGTGCCCAGTTGTAAAATCCTGAAGCCTGATTTGTACTGGACAAGGATTTGAGTTGGGTCACCACAGTCCCTCTTGTAGAATTAGGAATGAACTGCTCTTTTGTACCCAATACTGATGACAACCTTTGTGTACAACTTGAACAACAGAAGACAAAAAAGCTTTGACAAAGTTTTGTGAAACAGTTTCAGGACCAATTTGAAGACAGAGGACCAATATGTCAAACTGAAATTGTTTCCAAGATCTTGTAAAGGAAAAAAAATGTGCTTAAGAAAAGCCCAGTAACCTCCATGCCAGACCCTTCCACTAAAGAGAAGTTGTTCCAAAACTCTCAATTAGCCTGTTAAAATGACTGCTAACCAATAAAATGCAATACCACCAAGTGTATCCACAGGAGAAGGTCCATAGAGACCATTTCAAAGATAATACCTTACCTTTAGATTAAGAGACCTGTATTAAAATTTTAAGATTGCAAGCTACTTTTACATACATGTAGCTCAACACCAATCTCTAAAATTAAGTTTAAAAAAGTCTTACAAGCTTGATATATAACACTGCAATCCCTAATGCTCATGTGAATTAAGGCTGAATTATGTTAACTCCAGAAATAAGGGTAGTTGCTTTTAGTCACTCTTCTAGAAAAAAATCTTTTGCTGTTCCCATCCTATTTGCTAAAGTCTACTTAAATAGCTAAATCCTTAAACTGAAATTATAGTTTTCTTTTTTGATAATTCAGATTAACAGCAAGTTGTGCCAGTAGGATGATAATGGTGTGAAATATCAATTAATATTAATTATTTCAAGGTAATTACCAAAGATACAAGGTGATCACGTTCCTGAGCCATCTTCTCCACCAGACCAGTAAGGTTTGTTAGGTAATAATGGGCTACAACTTCTTTTTCCATCACTTCCTGCAGCTGCAGTTGTAAAACACCTATTTTCTTCTTTAGTCGCCTATAAAATGAACAGATTGGGAATTAATAATGGCATTAAAAACTTGCATCACATGTGCAAATCAACATGCACAAGTCTCAAACAATCAAACATGCTGCTAAAAATGCACTGGCTCACAATATTTGCAGTGCCAAAAGTACCATGTCCCACTTTTGGGGCTGTTTTTCTTTACAATATGTTGTCTGAAGAACAGTTTGTGCAATGGCTACAAGCTCATAATCCTTAAGAAATACAACGATATTATTGTTTTTATTTTTTAAAGTATTGTGACCCCATCTCTGAACCAACTGGGTGCATGAGAAGGTTTGCAAATAGTGTAAGGCCTTATTTCCAGTACACAAATGATTCATTGCTATAGCTAACTGTTACTCACACTAACTACTACAGTAAAGAAATATTCTCAATGTGCATGTAGTCACAGAAAAGTGAGCAGGAAAACATACAATGGTCAGCAAAACTTGATAGCCAAGCCTTTGAACGTGACAAAGATATGTTTAGGAAACATGTTTTTTCTGCAGTAGGTAGAAAACACTCACTATGGGAAGCCAGACAATTTTACAGATATTTCTGCTGTTATTGTTAGAAATACAAGTATTTCTGTACAAGAACATGAGACTGTGGTGTGACCTGTTTGTCTTCTGTGTCACTTCCATTTCAGTTTGCAGGGCCTTGTTGTCAGCCAGGCAGCTGTTTTTCTCCAGGAGCAGTTTCTGGTTCTCAGCTCTCAGTGATGTGACCCTTCCCATCACATCTTCCACCTCACAGCGCTTCTTCTCCTGCTCCTCCTGCAACCGCCTGCAAAATCCAACAGCACAGGACAGGGGTCATGGACAGACCCTCCTCACTAAAAAGCTAAATTACAGGAAGATCACCCTGTTAAAGGTATGAAAGATACACTCAGAATGCTTAATGTTCAGTGGAGACATCAGACAGGTATGACATTCTCAAATCATGAATGATTTAAATAATTCATTCTGACTGCACTTCATTTAAATTATAAAAATATGCAGCCAAATGTATTCCTTTTTTTTTTTAAAAAAAGATGTTACTAGCAATGCCAAAATACAAAATCTGAGAACTTCCCAGGACAAAACAGCAACTTGCACTATCCAAAGGCTTGGAAGGAAATAAATTTACAGAATGCCTTCAGGGAAACATTACTCTGCAGGCAGTGCATGGCAGCACTTTGGAGTTGTGCTGTTTCCTGTTATTTCTATATTGTAAAGACTGCAGAAACTCAGAACTCCTGGTTTAGAGTTTCAGGATCCTTTAGATATGTTCCCAAAGATGGGAACGAAAGAATGAAAACATTTAATTTATAGCATTGATAGAAATAAATAGATTTGACAAAAATGATATTTTTAATGCCTCCTCTTCTACTATTTAAGACAGTACAATTACCAGTATGTACTCTATGGTAGGAACACTCCTACCCATGTTTCTAGATCTGGGATATCCTTTGGTAAATTTAAATGTCCCTAAAAACCAAGAGAGTATTTTTTAAATACTTCTTTCCCTTTCTTTGTACTTTGGTAATTGCCTTCCTGGATTACCAGCAGAAGTTTCCACTGGCCTCCTACCTCCAGAGTGCAGCTCTGTTCATGTCCATGCTTTTCAGAACTGTTTCTCCATGCACCACATGTAAATTCATACCTGTTTAAATCATTCACCAAAGCCAAGTGCTCCTCTGCTGCTATTCTGCTCTTCACTCTGGCTTTCAGCTCTTCACAAGTAGAACACAAAGCTTCTAATTGCTTCTGGTACTCTGCTATCTCTTCTTCTTGGCTTTGTTTCTTGCCTTCTAAGATTACTATCTGTTTGGTCAACTTTGAAGCTTTTGGGAGGGGAAAAAAACAAACAACTGGGTATAACAGAACTAATTCAATCACCTAGTGAAACTCCAACTAAACCATTAATATGTTAATTCCTAGTTGTTCATAGCATTATGGAACAGCAGACTTGTCACTTTGTTTGTATTTTATTTTTTGTTGTCTCGAGCAACTTGTTTTGGTAAAATGCTGAAACTTCAAGACTGCTTCTTTTCTGAGCTGTAGGATCATTGAAACCTCATTTTACACTGAAAAATTCTCATTCAGTTTAAAGTGCTCTTAAATTATAAAAACGAATGTTTTGATATTAACAGCTCTTGCCACTTTTTCAGAAGAAGTCAAAATGTTATTTAGTGGCAACAGGTGACACTGACATTCTTTTCAAGATCAGTTGACATCCAGAGTTTGATCTCATATTAAAGTTGCAAAAAAACCCCAACCAAACAAAAGCAAGACCTCCCAAAAATGACAACAATAGAAAATAAACAAAAAAAACCACAAAATCCCCCCAAACCTGTAGTACCATCTTTAGTGTAGTTCAAATGACTGGCAACTCAAGCACTTTACCTTCTTGCACATGCTGCCTGTGACTGTCTTTTGCTTTAGCTTGTTGGATTTTGAGCTGCTCCATCAACAGTCCATTTTCTTCCAAGACCAGCTTGGCCTGAGTTTGTAGCTGCTGCCTGCAAAGATAACCAGCTTGTAAATAAAATACAACTCAAATGTTAGCTTATGTCTCCATTGACATTCAACGGTGTTAAAAATCATATTTGCACCTCATTAAAGAACAAAGTGAAAACCCTTATTGGAAGCAATGTCAGGACCTAAGGTAAGCTTACTGGAGACAGGAACTCACAACCATCAAAATGTAATTTATTTTAAATAATGTTTAAAACCTTTGAGTAACAAAAGCAAAAAATCCCTACAGAAAGAAGGAAAAATCAGTATGTGTGCATTAGGAGTGTAGCATCCTAGAATGGATAAAGCTCACTGCCAGTGAGCTTTATGAGCCTCTGAGGAAGATGGGCATTTAAAATGAACTCTCCTGAGCAGAGAACTCAGCTCTCTGCTTTTTAACTTACATTAATTCAGCCTTTAAGAAAAACAATACCAGTCTTTCTGATGTTAAAAAAAAAGCATAAGAAAGTATTTGCTGTTCTAGTAAGAGTTTAAAAAGTTGAGAAGTATTAACCAAAGTGTGTTTTGCAATTTGTGGACAGTATATAAGCAGCCAAGAACACATAAAATATCCACAGTATTTTATTAAAGCACCTGTGCAACACTTTGACCCCTTAATAACAACCTACTCAGCAAAATCTATGCAGAACTAACACCTGTAATTCTGCCTCGAGCAGGTGCTCACTGAAAGTCAGTCTGTGCTCTTGGGTGAATCTGCAGAAAGACTTCAGAGTGGAAGAGACAGCTGGAGTCAAAATGCTCCTCATGTAGCCACTGAGCCACCTGAGCCCTCCCACAACTACCACCTGTGCCATAGGTGCAGGAAGAATTTTTATGTTCACTCACAGGGGATGCTGTTCCAGAAACTGTTACTCTGGTTAGGAACTATCTTCCAATTTCCACTTCAAGTTTGTTCATGGTGAATGAATGCCCAGTTATTGTTCTAGTAACACTGCCCTGAGTCCCGTAACAAAGTTCTTTGTACACTCCATGTCTCCTGTTCCTGCTGCTCCCAGGGAGCAACACTGTCCTTCCTCAGCTTTAGTTCTGGAGTGAGAAAGGCCCATGTGCCTAAGCTCCAAATAAAAGAGGCTCTCCACCCTTTCAGCTTTGATACTCTGTACCTAAACCTGTGACCAGGACTCTCCAGAGATTTCCATACAGTTGTGTTGTTCCTGCCCAACCTCTACTGGGAGGACTTATTCTAAAATAGCCCAGGACTGTACTACCTTTCATTTTCTTTATAGCTGTTGCCTTAAAAAGCTCACAATCATCTTGCAATGAACCAGTACAAACAGTCTCTTCTCCATCTCAGCTACCAGCGGATGAATGTCTCACTTAGGTAAATTGTTCTTAAGTCTCAAGTATTTTCTACTACTTAACTTCATTACATTTGCATTGTTTCATTTCTCAAGAATATTGAATTCTTCTAAGGCCACACTCCGTTGCCATTTTATATTAACAGAAAACTGATGTCACTGGCACACTGTAAAAGTATGTAACCTTCAAAATCTGGGACAGAATTACATGGGCTTCAGATGCAAAACTGCACATTCATTTTGAATCTTTACTCCAAAATGATTCCAGGCATTGCACATCAGGACTGTTCCATCAAGGCAATCGTGACCCTATTACCCCTTCAGCAAAACAATTTGCTTGAAGGGAAAAAAATTTTTCCTTACAATCTGTAACCTTCAAAGTTTGCATGCAATAAGCAAAATAATTAGTAACTTTTAAATTAATTTCCAGTAATATAACTTGCCATTCTGTAGAGGTAATGAAGTTATTTTTATTTAATCGCTCATGCAGGTCTTCATTCTCCTTCACCAACTCTTCAACCCGTGCTTTAAAATTCTTCATATCCTCCTGGAAGACAAAGGATTTCACATAAAATCTGTAGAGGTAAGTATTTTGTTTTAATTTTTACATCAAAAAAAATCTTTATAAACATATATGTTTCTAATTCCTGACTTAATAGCATATCATTTCACAACTCACTCATCTCTAATTCAGATGTGCATATTTTATTCCTAAATTGTTTCATCAATCTAGTAATAGCTGATTAAAAAGAATGCTGATATTTGATTTGTGCCACATTTTTGCAAGTCGTAGATCCTTAAAATACGTATTTAAAAAACCAAATTCTGGAAATTACTGGATGACACTATACATTTTTAGAAGGAATGACATGGATTTGAATATGGTAGCACAAGACAGAGAATTTACAGTAATAAAATCCTTGGTGTTTTCTGCTCGTTTTATGGCTTAATATTTGAAGGAAATAAATCTATTTTTAAAGCCTATGGAAGTTCTGCTTTCATACCCACAAGCAGGTGGAAGAGAAGCTCTACAGAGCACTGAATCCCCATTATGGATGACAGCAGTAAATTCTTTCTACCACTGTGTTTATGATTTAGTCTGTTCTTAGAGCCCATCTTCCACCTCTCAGTGTAGTGCCCACTTCTGAAGCTGAACAGCAAGTCAAGAAGGATGAGACACAATAACTATGCATGGAAAAGTAAAACAAAGTCACTTCAGACTTTAAGCAGAAAAGAGCATTGACAAATCCCTTCAAAAAATTTCAGTCATATATTTCCACTTTAGTGTGTATTTTAAATGGCAACTTGCCTCATGTTCAAGAATAAAATCTTCCTTTTCTCTTATTCTGTCTTCATAAGCCAGCAGAAGAGGTGACAAATACTTCATATCCAACTTAAAAGAAAATTTTTTAAAAAAAAATCAATAAATAGAAATTAATTGCAAAAACTAATCTCCTCTGTATTTTTTACTTCTCCTGCTATAGATTGTTAGTTTTAAAAGCTGTGAACAGTTTTTGTGTATGACTTGCTGACAAAAGGGCAGTTGGACGCTATATTGGCACACTTCACTAAAAAGCAGCTCTAACAGCAGAATGTGGCTGCAAATGAATACAAACCAAAATTGAAACACTACAGTGATTATCACTAATTAAAAATTATCCCAGATTCATTAGTAAGTGGGAAAGAAATTTCTGCTTTCTCAAACGTGCATTTTTAAAACTAAATAGTAGGTGATTACTGGCTATTATGGCTAGAAAGACAGAGCAGGAGGATTTTCCTGTACAATACAGTTGTGAAAAACAATGAGGAAGGAAAATGTTAAGATCTGATCAGCATTTCAAGGAGAAATTCTTTTACCTCTTACAAATGCATTTAATCTCACAGACTATTTGCCTTCTCCTTGCCAGAAATTCATAGGCTACCATCAGAATGACTGAAACATTCTATTTTCTTTTAGTATCATCTTAAAAATAATAACAGCAGAAGATTGACAGTTAAGGAGATTAACAATTAAGCAGTAGAACTTGGGAGACCTTGAAGCAAACTATATGCTAGACAGTGGTAAGTGAAGAAGGTATTTATATAGAATATATAGAATATTTATAATATTCTATTAATTTGTGATAGTTCAGCAAAGTAAGTAAATAATATCCTGAATGTTTTGTTTCCAGTAGAGAAATTCTACAACTTTACTTAGAAAGGAATTAACAGAGAAGTGAAAATATTATTTGACTTACCAGCCATGGTGGTGGTGGTCCTTTCACGGGTAAGCTTTTCAGCTTTACGTGCTAGAGCAGATTTTTAAAAAGATACTGATATTATTTCCTGCTTTTTGAAGCACCAACTGCAGTCACAACAAAGCTTTTGTTTCTAATTACATGTGTTGCACATCTTATACACACTCAAAGTCAACAAAACTGGAAGTTCAGTATCTTACTAATACAGGAGAATACTACTGACTTCTTGAAGTTAGACTTAATGATAAAGGCTTATTTTAAATTTCAGGAAAAGCCTGTGCAATTTGTAGACTTTGTAATAAACTCGGAGAAAATAAAAAACCTCAAAAAATAAATAACAATGGGACAATTAAGTAGAAACTGTCTTTATAACCAAGACTCTCACCTCTTCTTGGGACAATGACCTGAATTTAGTTTGATAGCGACTTAATTCTACATTTAAACGATGGACCACCATTTTCAAAGCATCATTTTCATCTACCAGTTCTTGTGCTTGTTGTCTGAGAGAAAGTAATTCTGTTGCCTCCTCTGTTAAAACAAATATCCAACAAGAAAGTTCAATCAAAACTCATGAAATGTTCACAACAATTTGTTGATTGTAATGAAAAAAAAATTAATTTCAATAAACTAGAATCATAAGAGAACTTATCTCAAAACACAGTTATGGAATAATCCCATGAAAAATTATAATAAAAAACCCAACCACCAAGTATTTTCTTTTTCATGGTTATGTAAGTATTCCTTGACAAAATTTCTACAAATGTAGAAAACTTTCCAAAAGTTTGGAAACTACTTCTGCACAGATACTTGCCTAAATCAATGACTTGAAAGCTACTACTACAGGAACAGGTGGTAAGAAATCAGAAAAATCACACCAGATAGCTACAGAATGGCTTGTGTGTGTGTTTCTCCCACCTTCTCTATGTGAGTCCTCTGCAGCTTCTTTAAGCCTTCTGTTTTCCTGTTCTAGTTTCTTCAGCTTTAACTGCTGTTCTTCCATTTGCTGTTTTGTTCCCTCCAGCTGCTGCACCACAGCCTGGTATGCCTTGCTTAGAGACCAGTTGTCTTGTTTTAGTTCTCTGAACTTTTCTTTAGTCATATTTTCCCATGCTTGCCTTGTCCGAACAGACACATCTGCAATGGCACAGCCCAAGGCATTTAAATGGTATTCAGACCAGAATATGAGTTTTCAGCAAATTACAATCAGTTTTGTCCAATATCAGCATTATGTATGAGTGATACTTTATAAGATATAAATCAGCTCATGGCTCCCAAAAGACAAGATCAGAAAGAATTAAAAAAAGTAGGTTTGGAGAGAGCTGTGGAGTGGCTGCAAGCTCCCACCTTTTCTCTCAGACACTGAAAACATTCCTTCTTTAATTGGGAAAGAAAGTGTCAGCAGATCTCTCTCTCCCAAGCATCAGTGAGTAGAGAGATGAGACAAAAATGTTCACTGCATGGACTAGTCAGTCTTCTTGATCCCTTCTTATTTTCATCACCTATACAATGAAAGCTTTACCTTCCTTCCCACAGTTTCAATGATCTGTTACTGAAAAGAAGTTACTTAACAATCCTTACAAAAGTAAAATGTTAGAATATCTGCAAAACCGTGGATATACTGTTGCATCAGTAATAATGGCTCACACTTCCAAGTTTTCCTTGCCATCTGTATGGGATAAACAGGTGACCTATTAAAATGAATTTTAGCCTTGCCAGTATAACCTAATAGCACACAGGCATCAGTGTAACTCAGCACAGGACAGCTCCTTAGAATAAGATTTATCTGAAGCCAAATAAAGAGCTATCCCTTGTTATTGAGGAAGGCAGCCCATGGATCTTGTGTGTGTTCACCAGTTCAGCTGCTATGACACACTTAATAATGGTGACACTCTCCAGTGTAGATTAAATTTAAGGTATTGGAGAGGTCCAGCATGACTTTATTACATCATTTCACAATCATTTACTTTAGACTTCAAAAGTCACTCAGATTGGAAAATAAAAAAACCAAGTCTAAGCCACCTAACACAAAAAGCCTGGGACTGTTGTTTTGATACATATCACAGAGCACTCAGCACTTTCTCATCTCCTGTACAGGGAAAATACTTTCACACACACACAAATACAAGCAGAAAAATGTATTTTTATATAAAAATGCCTATTATTAAGTGAAGAGGTGTAGTAAAGGCATAGAAAAATCCACAGTACCTGGGGATGGTGGAGGTTTTTCACATATCAGATTTTCAGCTAATGGTTTTTCCTCCTAGTACAGAAATAAAATATGAGATAATTTGCTTTAACAGTCACCCTTCCTGTAGTTCTCTGAACAGCATCACTGTTGGAGAACTTAAACAAAACTTGAGAAGGAGTTTCTCTTATATCAACAAAATTTAAGGCTGGATTCACTGCTGATAATACACAAACTTCTCACTCATCTTGGCATCATTTTGTCACTTATCACTGCCTTCGGTCACTTGTGGACATTTGAAACTGTCACTATTATTTTTAGTTATAAGAAATGTACACTTCTCAAAATATTTTTTTTTTATGGCTGACATAAAAGTCCCATAAACATAAGGCTTCTTGACCAAACAGGATGGATATTGTTCCCACTAAAATAAGACTTTAGACTAACCAATTATGATATGAACTTGAACTGCCAGTCCCTAACTGGGTATCAGCAAATAAATCAAAATGGAAAATGTTCTTTAAAGTTGAAGAATTTTGTTCTTGCTTTGCTGTAAAAAAAAATAAAAGTACCTATTTTTACATTTCTGGAAGGTTCTTTCACCAGGAAAGAAATCCAGGCTCCTTTAACCAATATATTTACTTGAGGTGAACATGATTATATAGAGACTTTCTCCATGTTCCTATAAAACAGCAGTGAGGTTTTGTAAGGATGTGATGCCATGAAATTTAACACAGTGATGACACTGAGTGACCCTGATGACTAAGTGAGTCAAAACTTATGAACAATTTCAAAAGAAAGTATATGTGCTCAAGATCTTGAAGGAAAAAGTTATGATAACCATGGAAGAATTGATCATTTCTGTAAATAATATTCCAGCAAGTTGAAACTGAGAAACTAAACTTTTGGGTATTCTTTTTCTTTTATGAAAGCAGCCAGATGGGCCCAGTTGGAAAACTGTAGAAAAATGTGGTGAAATCAGGCTCAGAATTTGAAAATTATCAGTAAGAGCCATGTCTTGCTGTAGTGTGATGTGTCGCATTCTCAGTTTCTTTCTTTCACATGAGAAATAACAGAAGACAAGAAAAAAACAATCCAACTTTTGTATGTATATTTACCTATATAGCTGTATTCCTTCAAAAGGAATGGTTAGCCATTCTTGTACTCTAAAAGAAAAAGATTCCCTAGTGGCAATAAATTAATTTTCTTTTAAGTGACTGCAAACTAACAGCTCTTTATGACACCCTATTTTCCAAAATACATCATAAATCAACCTTTATCTAAGTCTTACCTTTAAGTTCAAGCCAAGATGTTGGTCTTCTGCTAAAGAAAAACAGATCTTTCAGTCAACTGAAATAAAAACTGTTTATAACTACAAAAATTATTTGTAAACTATAAGGGTTCATAAGGATATGTGTGCACACATATGCACACTGCAAATAAATGTAAGAAAGTCCTCCCCAACCCACAAATTAGCTCACTGATTTTCCACTACCCCTTTCATGGGGTGTTAGGACACTGATGTGAGACCTTCCTTTCCCTCACACTGTATAGATGCAAGTGGGGAAGAAATGATGCTGCACTGTTGGCTTCTATTATCATTTTAGAATTTGACTAAAGGACAAGAGAAGTATTTTCATTGATTTCACTGGGCTTGAATCCTATTGCATCTCTGAACAAAGCAAGTGCAGTTCTGGCAGCTTCCAAGACCTGCAGCACGTACTGTGTAGAAGAGGGATTAGAAATGCTGTATATACCCTGTTCTTTTCAGTTCAATGCCTTCATTTTCCAAATGGTTTTATGAAAGGAACTCATTCTTTCTGGATATTATTCTCTATAAAAATTCTCAAATATCTCACTGATATAATACTGAAAAAACACTGGGATCTAAAATTATAAAACTTATAAAGACAATATTTTTTCAAAACAGACTCAGTTCTGCTTTCTCTTTCCTGTTCAATAGCTACAGAGTGCTGCCATCCACTGTAAAAACTGCATTTTCCAGCTCTGAAACTAATTATTTCCCATTCTCCTGATTTTAAAAGAACAGACGAGACAATTATGCAATAAAACTGTGACACAAGTAGATTGGTCTTGTTGTATTGTTTTAATTGTTTCTCCACAACATTGTATTGCTACAAGAAAACAGCTTAACGACAGGTCCAGTTACAAACCAAATGTCTCTGATCTAATGAAATTACTTATTGAAAAAAAGTTATTTGTGAAGCTTAACAATTCAGAGCTTAGGGTGATAACCTGAGCCTGAGGATCAGGGTGATTTCTCTATTCTCTAGAAACATCCTCTGTGACCTGATGTACAGTTTTAAGGCCTAGACCTTAAAAGACAGCAATAATGATTCAACTTCTGTAGAAAGGACGAGCAACACTACTATCATGTCATTTGATTATTAAAAAACCCAGAAGTTCTTACCGATGGTTTTCTGTCATGGCATTTTTTCATACAAGGAACATGACTGATTAAAAATGTTCTCCTCTATCTGCAGCTTTTTTTTTTTTTTAACATTGGTAGTTTCTATAGTTCCTAATTTTTTCCAGTTTTTGAGCACAGTAACACTTCAGATTTCCAGAGCATAAATTGAACTGATTCACTGGATTTATAGTAGAGAATGACTGTGCTGGAAAAGACAGAGTTCACAAAACCTTTTTTTCCCCCTCTCTCTTTTTACACTGGCTGATAGTGGATATTTAGGAAGTCATTCCACAGTGAATATAGACCAATCTTCCCTCTTTATGCATCTTTTCAATGTTCTATAATTACTTAAAATTAAGTAAATAGTAGCATTTTTAATTGCTCTTTTAAAAAAGGGATATACCATTATCACATAGTATTACATTTATTTTATTCAAAAATTACTTTCCCTATGGTATATGGCATTTTGAAGTACCAGTAAGTTTGGTTACCTTCTATTTGCAAAGTTGATTTATCCACCACCACCTGAGACTCAGCTTCATGGGAAGGAACCTCTTTCTTGTCAGTGTTAGAGGTGGGAGATGGTAGAAACTCTTCCTATGAAAAAACAAGACAAGCCTATTTTAATCATGGTATCAGTGTTAAAACAGCCCTTGTGCTTTGATATCTCTCTGAAATCTGTAGTCTACTACTGTCTCTTCACCTAGGGGTGTTTTTTGGTTTCTTACAATACATACCACAAATCCAAAATGTGAAAGACTGATGGTTCTACTTCACTAGTGTTGTTTTTTTTGAAGAGGCATTTTTTTGAGAGGCATTTTATTGCCTCTCTCCTACTCAGGTACCTCTTCCCATTTGTTAAATTTTTGTATCATTTTGGACTGAACTTTAAATATGCCTTAGGAGTATTAAGTTGTGCATTGCTGTTTAAGGCAATCCAAAATTATAACACAGAAGAAGTTCCTGATCTTCAAGGTAATTTATTTCATTTGACTCCAAATCTCCCTGTCTCTATAAGGTCTGTGCTCATTAGCACAATACTGAAACATTAACTAAGCTTTCACCACTTAAGAGTAAAGTGCTCTTAGCAAATCATCTACTATGTAAGTACCATGGCAACATAAATTATTGGGCATTTTACAAGAATAAATTATGCATTATAATTATATAAAATACCAGTGTTTTCCCAGTAAGAAAAGGCTCCCAATAATCAGAGAGAGGGAATCTGTGAGAACCAACAAACCTAACTCATGTAAGAGTAAATGAATCACAAAAATAAGCATGTGAAATAAACATTGAATAAATGTCTGAAGAATAAGAAGAAAACATTAAGCATCAGAAATATTTAACATGTGCATTAATATATTAAAACATGGTAAAGTAATTAACACACTTAAAAATCCTACCTTTTTATTTTTGCAGGGAACAGCATAAACAGCATTTGTGCTACAGCTTTCTTCCCTCTTCTCATGACTCTGACAGCTGGACTCTGCCTCTTTATCAGCATCTGAGACATAGGTATCCATGTCCTCATCTTCACCATAGTGGCCTGATGTTTCCAGGGACTGCACAGGAGATTTGTCACAACCATCAAGTTTCCAGGTGGACCTGCAGGTAAAAAGCAACTTAATGCCACTTTCAACTCTGCTGCTCACTCTTCAAAAAAACCAACATAGTAAAGTAGAACCATCAGTCTTACAATGTACACCACAAGTCCAAAGAGCTGACGCAGGTGAATGTCTGCACTAGGAATCCAGCCTATGTGTGTGCTCTAAAACAGACAATTAATACTGGAACTACCTTGTCCTCTCTATCTTAAAGAAAATTCCACAATAGAGATAGAAGGTTGCTAATTCTACCTAAAGAAATATCTGTCATGTAACTGTAATATCTGCCATGTGTCACTTAACTCAGTTAATCACACTTGGCAGAAATAACATATGATTTTACTTCTGACTGCTGTACAATCCAAGTCTGCCTCTCTGAAGACTTCACAAGAAATGGCAGAAGGATTGTAGACACTTCAGACTGAATTTATGATGTGGTGAGAAAAAAAGCAGGAGTTTGCTGTAACTCTTTGGTAAAATTGTATCACTGGCAGGTTCTATTTCTAACCTGAGACAGTAAACCAGAAGTGTACAGTACCCTATTCTGAGCTGGGTCACTGTTGCATATGGTTCAAACCCTTCCTGTTCCAAAGAGGTGGAATCACTCTCAGAAAGGGATCTCTGCCGAGGCTGAGGAATAGCAACAGTGCGCCCTGTGAGTGCTGTGGCAAGGATTGCTGCTGCCAGAGCAGACCTGCAAGAGAACAGAGAAAAACCAAGGAAGCAATGCTGGTGTCCTCTTGTGCTCTCTACATTTGTTATATCTTCCTTTGCAAAACGTCTTCACTATTTAAGCAAAGCAAAGCGTTCACAGTTCACAAGCACAAATCCCACTGAATGCCCACAGGACTGGTTATAAACTATTAACTCCCAAAGGAAAGCACAAAATGGGGCAAGCTGTTGTAATGCAGCTTTCCAGTACAATACCTACTGGTCTTCCCAAATCACGTGCATGAAAATCATGAAATATTCTGAGTTACTTTCCTAAAATTCACATCAACCATTTACAGCATTTAGCATTCACTTTAGTCATAACAATACCACCTGGCATTGTGTAGAAAAACTGCTCCAAGTCCTGCTATTTTGCCTCCTAGTTTCCATTATTCCCTACTCTGAACCTTTTACTGATGACTCTGAAGTTGTTAATAAATGTTGGCACACTGCAAACCAGGACAAGTAAACAGAAGTGCCTATTTGTGGGACACTGTGGAGTATGGGAAAGGATATGATGAAGAGGAAAAACTAGTAGGAACTAAGATTAAAGCAAAGAAATGGCAAGGACTCTAAAAGGAAAGAAAACAACTGGAAGTCAAAAAGGAAGAAGAAATGAACTAGGATTAAGTAGGAATCTTATAGACATTAGAAAGGCCATGGAAAACAACTGGAACTGAACTAAACATGGAGAAAATATAGACTAAAAACTGTAAGAAACTACAACTTAGAAGAAAAACAGATTTGTGGTTTTTTTCTATGTGACTTACCTATATTGCTACATCCAATCCAATGGATTATGCCAGTTTTTTAAGTCCCTGTCATGGGACTTAAAAAAAAAAATCCATAACATTTAATTTACGGTTTTCTAGTGTGCTAAAATTTCCTGACTCACAGCACTAGTGCTGCTGCAACTCTACAGTCTACTGTGGCAGCCAAATTAAAAATTACTCTAACTTTAAACAGTCCATTTGTCTTTCACTGACTCAGACAAGTTCCATATTCTTAATGGTTCTTACCCTAAATATGTAGCACTCTTAGGAGTGGGAGAAAAATTTGAAAAGAGGGGAAGCGACCCACTTAAAAATATACTGGTTTTGTGAAAAGCTTTATGCAAATACTGCAGCAAGGACATGTGATTCTTTTAATCATGCATTTCTAGTAAGTTATAGTACTTGAGGAAGGGAAAAAAATAAAAAAAATCCGAACATACCTGGGCCTTTCTGGAGAAGGGTTTGGACTACGAGGGGGAGGGGTGCGGGGAACTGCAGGTTTAGGAGCTATGGTGGCAGCAGGGACCAGGCCATGAGCTATATGTTTCTAAACAATTTAAAATAAAATTAGTTGACAATGACTTTTAAGGATTACAATGAAAAAAAAACAAACCAACAAACCACAGAACTGAACATGCACAAAAACTGACAATGTGAAATAATATAAAAAGGAAGAACAATGACATGCAATTGATGCAAACTGAGGATTTGAAATGGTCCCAGTTTAACTTTTTACATGTATGAACAGCTGCTAATGGAGGTTAAAAAGTAATTTACATGAGAACCATGAATGGAGGTTTTCTACCCACTGTATGGCACAATCTGTAAAACCAGAATTTTAACGTAATCATTTTTTCCTGTATATACATACAAGAAAAACAGGACTAGAAAATAACTTCTTTCAAAATATTCAAATGCTGCTTCAGAGTGACAATATTAGTCCCTTTCTTTAAGAATCTGTCAGTCAGAAGTAACCCTCAGTCACAGCAGCATGAGATGGACAAATAACCCTGTCATTAAGTCTTGCAGTCAAAGGTTCAACCTGAATTAAAAAAAAATCTAATTAATGTTTTAGCAGCAAACACAGTAATTTTTTTAAAAGGGATAATATTAAACACCAGCTCAGAAGTGGGACCAGAGTTCCCTACAAAGAATGGAATCATGTAATAGTTGAGGTTGGAAGGGAGCTCTGATCTAGTACAAATTGCTGCTCAGAGCTGGGTCAACCAGAGGGAGTTGCTGGGGACCCTGTCCAGTCACATCTTGTGTATCCCCAACCTGGTCCAGTGTTGAACCACCTCACAGCATTTTATTATCATGTTTAAGCTGAATTGTCTGTGTTTGAATTGGTGATCATTGCCTCTTGTCCTGTCTCTAGGCATCAGAATAAATGAGGCCATAACAAAATCCATCAACTTTGGAGGGAGTAAAACAGGCCAAGTTCCTGCTATTTCTTCTACAGAGATTCCCCCCCCCCCCCAAATTATTCTTTAATTTACTACTCCAACAGGGGAATGAAGAGGCAAAATTGGAAATACTTCTGTCTTCACAGGAAGGCACATCAAATAACTAAAGGGTGCATTACAAAGACCGCATTTTTACTCAGCCTTATCTTACTGCATCTTAATGCACTGCTCCTGAACTCTGCAGGTCTGTCTGGGACACACCGGTTTGTTTGCTAAAGGCTGGTGACTGGAGATATCTTGCTATGATCAGGGAATACGGGGAATCAGGGTATCAGGGAATACAGCTGAACTAAGAGTAAAAAGCATGATAACAACAGAGGATCGATACTTTAATTCTAGTAACAAGAGTTCGATCAGTTCAAGTGCGTTGGGAGATAACATTGCTGGCAACTCTGCAACCTTCGGCTGCCCTGAGCTCTGATTACGTTAATCTCCCGACGTTAATTTCATTACATTAATTCACTGTTAAGAAAACGCCAACGTGCTTTCCTGTAGTTGGTAACGGTAACATATAAGTGGTTCCAATGAGAATAGTGTTTTCCTCTAAGAGAAGGTAGATCCTGGTGTTTGCTACACTCACACAGCTGTGCAGTCTGCCAACTATAAGTAGCTACTGTAACACTACTCTAACTGGAACCACTTATGCGTTAACGTCACCAACTACAGGAAAGTCTGCTGGGTTCTTCTGACAGTAAATTAATACAGTAACTTGTATCAGTTCACTTTAGAGCAGTGAATGTGCGCTTCGAGGATCGCCTTGGAAGAGAGGGAGCGGCACTGCCAGTGCGGAGCCAGCCCGGGATCCAGCCTGGGGTCCAGCCCGGGGTCCAGCCCGGGATCCAGCCCTCTGGAGAAGCCAGGCAGGACTGGTACTGAGGGAAAGGAGCACACTAGCCTCCGGACACCTTCCTGGCTTTGCCTGGGGTTTATTTCCCCCCGATTTTCACCTCGGTCAAACCGCTCAGCGATCCCCGGCACCGGCCGCCTTCCCCGGGGGGCCTCCCCTCGTCCCGCCCGCGCACAGCCCAGCACTGCGCTGCTGCCCCCGCTCACGGGGATACCCCGAGCGATACTCACGAAGGGGCCGGGGCGGCCTCTCCTGAACAGGAACGACATCGGGATGGGACAGGACGGGATGGGACAAAACGACCCGACCCCGCTGCCTCCCGGGCACCGCCCCAGACGCTTCACCCCCGCAACCCGCCCGGCAACAACGGCGCGGCGGATTCGCTGCGGGCCCGCGCTCCTCCAATCGGAGCGCGCCTTACTCAGCCGGTTGCCAAGGGCGAGCGGCCCCGCCGCGGGGCGTTGGGGCAGGAGCGGGTCGGGCTCCTGAGGGCCAGGCCGGGCCGGACAGGTGAGCGCCGGACAGGTGAGCGCCGGGCCGGGGAGAGGGTCTGACTCTTCCTCGGTGTCTGTGCGCGGATCTGTGACCGGGAAAGTGATTCTGCCCCGTGCTCGGCGCTGGGGAGGCCGCGCCTCGAGTGCCGTGTCCAGTTCTGGTCCCCTAGGTTTGGGAAGGATGCTGAGGGGCCGGAACAGGTCCAGAGAAGAGCAGCGAGGCTGGTGAAGGGTCTGGAGCACAAGTGCTGTGAGGAGAAACTGAGGGAGCTGGGGGGGCTCAGCCTGGAGAGGAGGAGGCTCAGGGGAGACCTCATCACTCTCTACAACTCCTGACAGGAGGGGGGAGCCAGGGGGGAATCGGGGTCTGCTCCCAGGAACCGGCAGTAGGACAAGAGGTCACAGCCTTAAGCTGTGCCAGGAGAGGTTTAGGTTGGCCATCAGGAAGAAGTTCTTTACAGAGAGAGTGATGAGACATTGGAAGGGGCTGCCCAGGGAGGGGGTGGAGTCCCCGTCCCTGGAGGTGTTTAAGGACAGACTGGATGTGGCATCAGTGCCATGGGCTGGGTGACAAGGTGGGGTTGGGTCACAGGTTGGGCTTGATGATCTCAGAGGTCTTTTCCAGCCTGGTTGGTTCTGTGATTCTGTGTTTGCAGCAGTACTGTCTTGTTTGTGGTGTCTCCTCAAATCATGCCTTGGCCTCCCAGACTCCCAGTTGCCCCTGAAGTCAGAACACCATATAAGGCTGGCAAACCTGACAATAATCTGTTCCAGCAATTCCCTTCTAATAATGTGTCTGGAGACTCCCACCAGCTGTGGCTGGAGGTGCCTCTGGAGTCAGCTTTGCAATTCCAGCAGACTTTCTCCCAGGAGGGTGGATGAAGGCGTGGGAGAGGCAGTGTGGGGCTTTCCACCGTCCCTGTGTTTTAATTCAGACGTTTTTCAGACTTAGTGGTAAAGCTGGAAGTGGAATTTGAAGCCAGCAGCCTGTGTTCAGGTGAACAGAGCTGCTGACTGGTTTTGATATGCTAACCATAACTGTAAGGAGTCTTGGGGAAGGAGATAAGTCTCTCTTCTAGAATATTGCATCTTAAGTTTATGATTAAAATGTATAAGTTTGCAACAGGTTTGTAAAATATGTTACTGTCCCTTCCACATTTCCTTCTAGGGTGTAACTGCTACTGAAGTAAAGATTTGAAAGGAGGCCTTATGACAACAAAAGCAAACTTCCCTGTGACAGCAGGATCTGTAGTTGTCCCTTATGGTCATGCAATTGGAAATGAGAAGTGGAGAGGGTCAGAGGTAGCCCAAAGGCTACAAGGTAAGCGCAAACAAATTGGAAGAGGACAAACAGTTCTGGCAAAGCATTGCCCGTCTATCACCCAGTAGTGTTAAGAATGGCTGGAATATGCATTAATCTCTGCCTGAGTGGTCCCAGATTTGTGGTACTTTTTTTTACTGAAGAATCCTGTGATATATCTGTGTGATCAGCTCTGTCATGTGCTCATGGGTGCAGAGCACTGAAGAGAAGCAGCAGAATCTGCTGTAGTGGGGCTTTGTGGTTGTGCATCTCCACTAGACATGGATACTGAACCTGTGCTGTCATCTCTTGGCACAGCAAACTAATCCTCCCAGAAAAGTGTGTGATATTTTTGTTAAAGCTCAGAGTTTACTGAGCAGCTACAGCACTTACAGATCTGGAGTGCTATTAATTGGCATTACCAAAGTACATCACACAGTGCTTTGGACTGTTTGTCTCAGTTTTACTTAAGGAGAAGAAAGGCTTTACAGAATATAAAGTTCATTGTGAGGTCACTAGGATTATTGACACATCAGGAAGGTTGTGCTGTGCAGTAATTGTTATAGTAGTTGTATAGTATATATACTATAAATATACTATATAAAAACATAGTATATATTTCATATTATATATACTTTATATATATTTATATGTTATATATTAGTATATATTTGTATTTATAGTGTATATATATAACTATAGTATATAATTTTTTACTTATTGTTATATATATATATATATCTATATATCAGTAATTGTTTGTTTTTAACCACTGTATTTTTTCTTACAACAATCTCACCTTAAGGGAAAGTCAGACTCATCTTTGAAGATGGCTTGGGACTGGTGGACTTTCATCTTTCCAATAGAACTTGCATTTTATATATTTCTGAAGCAGATTTGGTTGCAGGGGATGAATTCAAACGAAGATTGGTGAGGTTTAGAAATGTAAGTGCTAAATAAAAAGGTTTCAATTGATATTCGTTTATTCTGTGCTTCTGAAAACATTCTCCTTGTGTTATTTTTACATTCTAGCTAAACTTTTAAGATAGTTTCCACTGGAAAACTGAATCATTCTGAAGCTGTGTGATGGTGCTGCATTAAACCTCAGTAATGCTGCTGCAACTTCTGTTCTTCCTCTGATTTGCCATCAGGCAGCTCATACTTGAAAGAATTTCACTCTGTTAGGTTGCATCAGCTTGTCATTAACAAGGTCTTTTCTTCTTTTTTCCCTTTCAATACAGGCCAGCAATCTCAGGGGACTTGTAATTGTAGAGAAAACCCAAATAAGTGATCAGTACTTCTCAGCAGTACAAAAACTCGTTGTACTCGAACTTGGAATGGTGTTGCTTCCTGTGGCAAATCAAGGAGAAGCTGCTCAGCTCATTGTTCAGCTGGTGAGTGTCTGTGTTAGTGGGCAAATATTTTTAAAATGTGGGACATGTGGGAAAGCTCTCGACCTGGGATGGCTGGGATCTTAAAGGAGCACAACATTGTTTGAATGTAAGGAATAAATCTCCTGCAACAGTGACATGGGGGTATAGCTCAGTGGGAAGAGGGCTCCTTTGGGAATAAGAAACAAGGAAAAAAAGGTTGAACAAGATGATCCTGGATTTTTTCATGTGATCTTGCACCGAGGTACCACTAGATAGCATTAGGCAACCTCACTTAAGTTCTCTGTCAAAACCAACTTGAGATTTTGCTTTCTCTAAGGCTAAGGAAATTGTTCTTATATTGTTTAGCCTTTCTCTGCATCAAAAAGATGACAAAAATCATTGTTTTCACTAAGAAACCGTTCCCTAGTGAGACTCTGTGGAACTGCATCAAAATCAGGGCACACACAGAAGCAGGGAGCTCGTTTCTAAAACTTCCCGGTGATTGCCCTGACCTGCTCTGCCATGAAAGAACCAACTTTAAAGGTTGAGAGCAGAGCTCCTGCTCGGTTGGCTCACGGCTGTGTTTGGCTGCAGGTGCGGGAGCAGAGCCGGGATCAGGGCACCAACCCCTTCCTGCGCAAGCAGCGACCTCAGCTGGCAGAGCCAGCGCTGTTCCAGACAGCGCAGCACATCCCGGGAGTCGGGAAAACAAAAGCTCTGCTTCTTCTGCAGCACTTTGGGAGCATCCACCGGCTTTGTAACGCCTCCATCAGCGAGCTGGAGCAAGTAGTTGGACAAACAGCAGCACAACAAATTCATACCTTTCTCTGTTCCTGACACGCTATTTTGCAAAGACAGACTTTTTGTATGGGTTTTTTTTCTTGTGAATAATAAAATTTTGGTTTTAATAATCACTTATTATGGTAGTTTTTATAATCATGGCTGGCAACTACTGGAGGGTGCTAACTAATTGTTACAAATATTCCTCTGCTCTGAGCAAGAACATAAGGCACACACTAATTTCCCTGCAAGTTGGCTACCACTCAGTGTAGAATGAGTCTTTAGTTAGCTGACAGAAAACAGAGACGTTTTGACTTGAATTGAGGAGTGTTTTAAATTTAAAAAGACCCTTGCCCCAACGACTGTGATGATGGGAGGAGGAAGGCAGTTAATGATGCAGCTAAGAGGGAAAATATCTGCAAGAGAACTGGAACAGTGGGTTGAGAGAAATGAAGAGCTAGAAGGGGCATTCAGGTGACTTTGCTAAAGAGTTTGTTACTTGGAGAGCCATTTCAGCCCCACAGGCAAAGTGAATCTCTTGTGTATGGAATATCAGTATCTGCCCACTGGTGCTTGGGTGTGTAAAAGCAGCCCAACTACAAATACATAGGAAAAAGAGTATTAAGTTTTTCATGTAACCTTTATAGGGAAACTCTAGAAATATATTTATACTCTTTATAAGGAAGCCACTTTTAAACTCTTAAGTTCCTGTACTGTCCAATATAAACTTTTAAGAAAGTTTTTTAGATATTTGTAAGCAACATCACAGAAACACACGAGGCACAGCAACAATAAATAGCAAAAACCTGTAAATTATGCTGTATCATTCAAAAAGCTACTACTAAGTGACAGCATCTGATTTTTATTCTTAAATAAATGTCATCAAGATATTTACACCTACTACATAAGAAACTAAAAATAAATGACAGCTTTCAAGTTTACACCAAGATGCAAACTCTCCTTATTTAAGTTTTGAGTATCAAACAGCATATATCTACTCTGTAGATGGCAATGGTAACTAACACTACAGTGTTAGCAATTTTCAGTTAATTTAGAAAATAGAAGAATCTCAAAGAAATGCTCACCAGTTGTTTTTGTCTCCCTCCTTGCTATATATGTATAGCTGCTCATGAATTTTTCCAAGGGCAGAAGGATTTGATATGACAGTAAATAACTATTCTGCCACTTGCACAAGCACTCTTTTCCTCATCACCCCAATTTATATATTCTTGATTAATATACTATAATATGTCCATTTTGAGATTTGTTTCACAGCTAATTCATTTTATCAAGACTAATAAGATACAAGTCTCAAGGTAAGTAGGTTAAATAATGTCATTTGGAATAAAGCCTGTTCTTAACAATTGCATCAGCAGGCATTTAAAATGTAACCTAGAAAAAGAGCGGAGTACAAGCCTTTTGGAGTTCAGAAGATATTTTAAAT